TCTATAAGGACTGGGGTTCACTGTAGTGGGAAAGGAGAGGGAACTCTCATCAAACACCTGTTAGGGGACATGTAGGCCTTGAATTTCAGGTAATAACAGGAGATGCCACCTCATTCTGTGAGGCACTGTCTATATACTTTTTATCCTTATACAAAAATTTCAAGTATTTATATATCACTCAGTGAGTGCCAAAGTACTGCTCCAAATGCTTTTTATGAAGCAATTTATTGAACCCCCACAACACTGCTTTGAGGTGGGTACTATTATTTACCTCGTTGTATAGATAAGAAACTGAGGCCCAGAGAGCTTAAGAAACTTTCCCAAGTCTGTAGTAACTGATGCAGTTGGGATTTGAATCCTAATAGCTCCAGAGGCCACGCTTTTAATCATTACCGGATAGTGACTGGAAAAGGCAGCAAATATCCTTGAATAGACGAGAAAAGTGAAACCAAGAAGCCAAGTAATTTACAGTCACTGGGGTGAGGGGCAGAATAAAGGCAGAATTCCTGCCCTGGAAGCCATAGGGCTTCCCCCTCCAAGGGACCGAGTGTCCTAAGTCCCTTTTCCATATCCCACTCACTTAAACAGGCCCACAGGTAGTGGGGCCAGCCCAGAATCTCTAAACCCTTATTTGTGGTTAACTGTCTCCATACCGCAGGGCAACTATGGGACAAGAGGAAAGGGGAGGCACCCTCTCCACTTTAGATCTGACTTCCCAGTTTCCAAGACCACCAGCCCCGAGGCATAAGGCCCAGACGCAAGTCTGGGAATTTTCTCAGCGGGGGTTAGAAGCCGGAGAGTGAGGTGGGGAAGGGGCTGGGCGGCGCTGGGCCGCCCAGGAACACAGAGTATCCTATTTCTCGCAACCCGCCAATCCTGAACGCGAGAGGGCGTGGCCATACCTGGGAGGCGTGGCCGGACGGCGGAGAGGACTGCGGCGTCCCAGGGCGAGGCGGTGACGTGAGTTCGGCGCACCTGGGTCGGGCAGGTAAGGGCCGGTGCGGGACGGGGAGCCGAGCTCGAAGACTCTACCTGCGCAAAGCTAGGTGTTGCTTACCCGACCGGTGAAGAAGAGCGGTGGCGACGGGTGATCTTAACTGGGGACGTGGTTCGGAGGGACGTCCACTTCTGGTCGCCGGATTGAGAAAAGGTGAGGACGCTAACTTTTGAACACTAGCTTTGGAAGGGGGTGGGGTGGTGGGGACCCACCCGCCCCAGAATTTGTGCGGTTAGGAACCTTGCTTGAGAACATCTGTTTGTTTGGGGAGACCTTCTGGGGCTGGGTGCCTGTCGCCCTGCTTTAGGTAGCTTCTGGGCGGTCCTAGCCCTGGAACGCGGGGCCCCTCCCGAGCCCACACTTCTCTCTACTCCCTTTCCCTCCCTGCCCTACCGGAGTGTGCCGCTCTCGGCCCCTACCCACCCACCATAAGCTAGAGCTACGGCGCCTCCGCCCCTCTGGTCTTACCAGCTCGCTGGGCCCAGTGTCCCAAAGAGGGGATTTCCCAGACCTGCGGGCCTTTGGTCCTAGTGGGTGTTTGGGGAAATGGGGATGGGGCGGTCAGGAGCTTTAGCCAGTTTGTTTTTTCTCCTTGAATTTGTTTAGCAGTCAGGCCCCTACCTGGGGCCTGGGAGACACCCATGGATTTCCAAGTAGCCAAGCTTGATGCTGGGGAGGGTGGCGCTGGGTGTGGTTGCTCTGGGGGTGAGGCCCTCTTCGCCTGAAGGGGATGGAGGGTGGGTGTGGAAAAATGGGGAAAGTGTCCCAGTCCTGACTGGGAAGGAGACCCGGGGTGCCACTCTTTACAGGGAGCCTGCTTTGTAGTAAAAGGGTCATCTCTGTCCCAACCCTGCTTTCCTAGTGCATGTCAAAAGTGGAATCCAGGGAAGGGAGAGGGGGAAGGTGCTTGAGTAGGAGTTGGTGAAGGCTGGTGCTGACCCAGGAGAGTAGTTGAGGGTTAGATGTGTACATAATGCATGGCAGCAGCACCCAGTACCCTGTAGCTCCCTCTCACCAGCCCCCAACTTCAATCCAGCAGGGAGGAAGGGCATGGGAATTATGGTGAGAGGCATAGAATTTACCCTTGAGCAGGGCTAAACTAAATGGAGGTAAGATTGGGGAACTTGGAATATGGCCTTCAGTTCCCTCGAGGGGAAGGGAAAAAGTGGGACTACCTGGCAAGTGTGTTTTACTCTGAGCCAAAACATTGGCAGCCCAATCTTGAATCTCAGCTTTGAGGTAGTGGTGTCCCTGGAAACTAGGCTGGGCAGGGGCTGCAGAGGTGGTAGTGGGGGTGTTTATAGAGGACCTGTTCCCTGGAATGGGTGTATGAGAGAGGACGGTTAGTGCCTTGGGGAGGTTGAAAGTATCCCCGCTCAATGCCCAGTGTGAGGGGAGTGGGTTAGCATCTTTGTTTTTTGGCTGGGTGAATACCTATAAGACACACAGGCCTTGAATTTCACTGTGATGGCAGCTAGAGATACCAGGGCTGAGTTCAGCTAGGCTAAGATTCTGTGGGCATTGAGATTTGAGTGATGTGAGTGTTTTGAAAGAGAACTCTGAGTTAGGTGTGTTTGGGGGTGGGTGTCATCCAGTCTCCTCCTTAACCACTTCCTTGGCCCTTCATGCTGCTGGGATCTTGTCAGTATTTTGGTTTACTCTCTTAGTGTGCAGAAGGAGGGACTTGGAAGGCAGGGTATTGTGGCAGGATTCAGTACTATGGCATACTCTGACTCAGGAGTGTTGGGTCCAGGCCCCAGATGAGGCACTTTTCTGTGTCTCAGTTAACCCAGCTATAAAATGGGGATGATAATAGTACTACTTCCAGATCATGAGGATGAAATCAAACACACTAAATAAAAGTGCATGTAAAAAACTGTAAAGCCTATGTAGGTATGAAGGATCGTTGGTATCATGGTCTCAGCAGCTGAAGGGCATCATCTTTTATATCTTCCAGTGGCCAAGAAAGGCCTTAGCTTCCTGTGGTTAAAAAAATACTACTTGTTTTTTTTTTCATTTTTTTTAAAGATTTATTTATTTATTTGACAGAGAGAGAGAGACAGCACAGGCAGGGGGAGAAGCAGGCAGAGGGAGAGGCAGGCTTCCTGTTGAGCAGGGAGCCCGATGCGGGGATCCCAGGACCCTGGGAACATGACCAGCTGAAGGCAGATGCTTAACTGACAGAGCCACCCAGGCGCCCCGGTTTTTTGTTTTTTGTTTTTTGTTTTTTTTCATTTTATTATAAATTGAAAAGGAAAATGTAGGAAAATGTGAATCATATACAAAAGTATATAGACAAGTATAAAATTCACCCATAATCCTATTACCAGGTAACAATTATGGATGTCTTGTTACATTGGTGTATTATTTCTTTTCCTTTTTTTAATTATATGTATGTATGTGCAAGTGCAAGTGCATGTTATGTTACAGGATGGAGATAGTACTTATACAGTCAATATTATATGCTGTATTTTCTCCCTTCATGTTGTAAACATTTCCCCAAATCCAATAAAAATTCTTCAGACACCCCGTTGTTAATGGTTGCTTAATAGTGCAGCCTGTGAATATGTAATTAGCCATTTTCCTCTGTTATTTTGGTTACTTCCAACTTTTCCCTCTCTGCCGGTTTTTAGAGCTCTAGTTACTGGGTGGCAGGTGGGGGGGATGTTGGCTGGCTTTCAGAAGGTAGAGAGGGTTAGCAGCGATGCAGGTGAGGCATGAAGGCAGGGGTGGGGTTGCTCATGTATTGTGCCATCTCGAGAGAATGCTGAGAACCCAGGACTCTAGATCTTAACAATCAATCTCTGAGATTGCTTCTCCTTCCCTATCACTATGTGCAGTTCTCTGTGTTGACTTGGTTGCTTTAATTTTTTCTTGATGAGCTGTTGATCAACTAGTATAAGCCCTTTTCTTCAAAGTCCATGGTCCGTCAAGAACTGGATTTCACATGTCTGACAAATGTAGACACAAGACTTATGGGTACTGCAATAGAAATTCTCAAAAGTCCCTCACGAGGTTGACCAATGTGCTGCCCATTTCCCTATTGTCCTTCCCTTGCTTCATCCCCTTTCCAGTAGGCTGGGACTGAGGAGGAGAAGGTAGAACTTGCCTTTAGGAGAATATGCATTCTCTCCTCCTTAAAAGGTAAATGCTGCCCTCCCCCCCCATTTGATGGCTTGACTTGCTGCCCTACAAAACAACCTAAACAAAGCCAAGAACATGGGGGTGGGATGGGGTGGGGGTACAGTTGAATATTGCATGCCACCCTCACTGTTGAGCTGTGCTCCCAGGGGGAAGGTTTCAGTTGCAGGACTTGTTAATTGGGTCAGAAGGCTCAGGTAAGAGCAGGTCCTGCCTTGCTCTTAAAGTGCCAGAAGCTTAGTTGGGTTTGTGTTTTCCCTGTTGGGAGTCTGGCTGGGGAAGGAAGTGGTGTTAGGGGCCACCCCCTCAGCTAAGCTCCTGTGAGTGGGAGCCTTCAGCTGACTCGACTGGTTTGGTTTCTGAACTGTGATCCAGGTGGGGACCTTCCTGGGTGTGAAGGTGACTTATTTATCTTCCTTTCCTCAGGCCATTGTGGGGCTTGAGCAGTTCCAGTGTGGATTTCTTCAGGGAGTCTGATGAAAATGATGCCCTTTCTCACCCACATAGTGCTGGATTCACAGTAGCCAATGAACACGTATTTGTTGAGTGAATGCGATTTTGCAGGCCTCACCTTAAGTAAAAACAAAGTAAAAGGAGAACACCAAAAAAAAATCTAAACACAACATCCCAGGCAAACAATTCTCTAGTGGCCAGTTTTTCCTAAAGCACCCAATCTGGGCAGGCCTTTGTTTCCTGCTGTGAGTGCTGGCTGTTGCCGAATGTTATCTGCTATGCCCGTGTATTTTTATAAGAATCAATTGCAGACTTTACCCAGGCCAGCTCCTGCAACCAATGAGTTCACTTTAGCCTCTGTGGGGAGATAAACAGACCCAGGTGGAGGAGTCCATCTGAGCAGAGCAGAGCTTGTCTTATGATTGTTTTTAGCAGTCTAGGGTGAGGAGCCGTAGCATTTGATAATTCTGGGGTTCCTGGACTTTGCGACAAGGGTCCTTAGAGCCTCTGTCTCCCATGTTCCCAAGACTTCTCCCAGCCACTGGATTGTCTTGTGGATAACCAACTCAAGACCCCTTTTTCTTGGTACAGAGTCTTTGGCTGGCCCAGAGCAAGGAGAGCTGACTTGAGGCCCAGCTCTTCGGATCCCCGTGGTTACGCTGCCTGCTCATCTCTGTAAGTGAGGACTTTGGAACCAGGACCCACCCCTTGCCTCCTTCTCTCTCACCACGATGGTGCCATTTCTTAACTAAAACATTCCCGATCACCTTTAGTTGTCTTGTCTAAAAAGAAAGTGTGCTTCAAATTCTTGCCCCTGTCTTTGCTGTTTCCATAACTTTTTTCCTCCCGTCTCCTGAGATGAGATTGAAAAGAGCAATTTCACTTCTTTTTCAAAGCCCCTGGTTCTTCAGGAAGGACTGTGTTCCAGCAGGGATGATGTCATCTTTTTTTAATTTTTCTGCTTCAGGATTTAAATAGAAGAAATGTGATCTACTTACATGATAAGTCTGATTTGGCTAGAACATGAAGTATAAATGGCTTTGGAATAAGAATCAAAAGAACCTTTTAACCTCTTTTCTTTTCTTCCCCACCTGGCACAGTTTATTCCCATATTTAGTTTCTTTGCTGTAATCTAATGAAACTGTAGCTCTATCATACGGGAACAGTGGCTGGGAAAAGTTCCCAGAGGCTGGCCTAATTCTCCTGCTCTCCCTACTCTTTACCCTCCCCCACAACCCCCCACAGATCATGGCCCTCCACCCCCGCAGAGTTCGGCTGAAGCCCTGGCTGGTGGCCCAGGTGGATAGTGGCCTGTACCCTGGGCTCATCTGGCTACACAGGGACTCCAAACGCTTCCAGATTCCCTGGAAACATGCTACCCGGCATAGCCCCCAACAAGAGGAGGAAAATACCATTTTCAAGGTAAAGGACTTCTTCCACCATCTGACTTAAAATGTTTTCCAGTTCTGTCAGAGCTTTCTGGGTTTTTTGGTTGTTGTTGTTTTGTTCTGTTTTCTATTTTGGCATGAGGAATACAGTAGATCCAAAATGCTGATGTATCAGAGAGAATGTTTATGAAGGGGGTGCCCAAACTTAGGCATAGTAATTTCTCTTGCTGGGGCACGTCTATAATGTTTGAGTCTGTTTATTCTTTCCCATTGGTTGAAGGTACTCAATTCACATCCCAAAAGATCCCAGGTGCAGTTGGCTAAACTGCAAGTGATCGTATCGGTGTGGTTGTTCCAAAAGCTCCCGAGGGTCAGCAAATGACTCTTGCTCTTCATTCACTCAAGGCTCTTGCTATGAAGAGAGGTGCTTGGGCCTGGGAATGACTCTTCAGACCAGGACAGAACTACTGAGTGTTAGCAGGTTCCTAACATAGCCTGTAGGATGGGCGTAGAGGGCCCTCTGCAAGGTGTTCTCTTGATATTAAAATATCTTGCCCTATCCATAACCTCTGCTTAAAAATTAATGGCGATTTAGTACAAGTTTTGATTATACAAGTATGTTTTCTTAAATAAAAAGTAGCTCTGATGTGACAGTTGTTTTACTTAACTGAAAACAAGGTTTAATCAGATGGCATTTTACAAAATTTAATGAAGCCAAAGCTTGGCTTTAAGACAGAAGTAGGTGGGAAGCTGGTCATGGGGAGGGGTGTTATGTGGTTTATAACTCTGGACCCTGTGCCTCTGCTTCAGACCAACTTCTCTGTGCTGGTCAGCCTTCCATCTCATGAGTTGCTTTAGTTCCTGCATCCCCACGACATGGAGAAGTGAGTTTAGCCTTTTCTTCCCTCTATAAGCTGGAAGTCAGAAGTGAAATCCAGTCCCTACCCTGGACCTCTCAAGATGGATGGCCCCAGGTTCTTGCTGAGATTGCATCAGAAGTGGGCTCACCCCTCAAAGGAGAGCCATCCTAGAGATGTTTCCCACCCAACTCAGTTATATCAGGTATAGATAGAATACAAGAGGTAGAGGGAAAATTGGCCTGAGAGCACTTAGAAAGACAGTAAATGAGCGCTTTTAATTTAAAAAATAATGATATGGAAATGATAGGGAAAACATCTGTAAACCAGCCCCAATTACTGAAGTTGGCATCGAGAGGGCGGATGGGCCTGCCATGGCCCAGTTGGCCTTTGGTTGTGGCCTTGGTTTGAAACTAGATTTGCCGTTGGTGGCTGGGGGTGGCTGGCCATGGTGGAAGAGGCAGGTTCCTGAAAGCCCGACGCAGGAGAGTGATCTATGTGTTCAGGGCTTGAGAAAAAGGTGGCTGCAGAAAGCTTGTCTTATTTATATCTGTATCTCTGTTTGCAGAATGCTAAGGGAGGGCCTCGGGAGTCAGGAGAAGAGTGAGGGTGCTTTCACAGATCCCAAGCTCTGACAGGCCTTGGGTAGGATATGTGGGGGTGGGAAGGGGGCGGGGGGCACTAGCATTAAATGGGTGCCTACTCTGTATCCCCTGTCCATTATCTCATTGAATTCTCAGCAACTCTGTAAGGGAGGTATTACTCTCATGTGTAGATGCAGAGGCCGAGTCTCCAAGGGGCTAAACAACTTGCCCAAATCAGGCAGCCAATAAGGGGTGTGGCCAGAATTTGAACCCAAGCCTATCTGCTCCCCCATTAGCATATACCCCATTCTGACCAGGAATTGGAAGACCTGGTTCAAATCCTACTGCTATCAATGGCATGTATGGTCTTGAGCAAGTCACATAATCTCTTTGGGCTTTAGCTTCCCCTTCAGTAAAATGGGGATGAAACCAGTCTTGCCTGCCTCACAGGATTGTTGTGAGAATTGAGTGAAATAATGTGTGGGGAGGGATTAGTGAATTACCATTAAAATACAGAGGTTACTTCCATTTCTGGAGGAGGAGTCGGGACCTGCACAGCGACCTGAGTGTCAGAAGCAAGGCTCAGAATGGGTCTGAGTAAGTCACATTTATAAATCACAATGATTGCCATGTGGTGGGTACTACCCTCTGCCGCATCAGCCTTGGGCCCTCTGCACCATCTGAGTGGGCCCTGAGGAGCAGTGGCTGTGTTGTGAGCAAGAAGCTGGGGCTGTGGTTTTGGCTTAGTCTGGCTGCTCTCCATGGAGGGGAAGGGATTTAGGGAGCCAAGGAACTCTGTAGACCTGTGCCAAAGTCAGCACAGCCCAAGCCAGCTGGGTGGGGCTAGAGTGGGAGTGGGCACAGGGAATCAAATAAACGGAGGGTAAGCAGTCAGCTACCACCAGGCACAACTGGAGATGTGCTTCTCAGATACTGTGGACCAGTGGCATCGGAATCCCCTGGAGGGACCCAGTGAACTGTATTTTTTCTAGCACAGCCATCTCGCGCAGCACCCCTCTATCAGACCTCTGCATCCTATACTGCAAAACAAATGCAGGTGCCCCCAAGTCTGGGGAGATGGTAAGAAGTGAGCCTGAATTAGAAGAGAAGGATTTAAATTTGTACCGGAAGAAACTTCCTCATGATCCATGATCATCAGGCTCTGACGGGGGAGTGACTGAGGGAGATCAGAGATCTCAAAGGATGGGGTGGAAAATTTCCATTTCAGCTTGAGGTCAGAAGCAGAGGCAGGGAGTTGGGATTGGACACGTGCCCTGTCTGTGTGAACAAGCTGGGGTGTGCTTCCTGGTCTTGAGGACTCTGCTAATGACATCCCCCTTTTCTGCATCAGAACATAACATCCTGAAGAAAGCACAGAGATCTGAGAATATGTTAGCAGTGGGGGAGAGTGGATATCCCATGAGCAGAAACATACATGCTTTGGGACCCAGAAACTGAAAACCAGCAAGGAGGAGCCAAAGGTTTTAGCTCATGCCACCAGCCCCTGGTGTTTGCAGCAAAGTATTTCCAATGAAGTGGGACTTTGAGGAACTAGGGAAGGGCAGGGGGTGTGGGTTTACTCAGACGTGGGGCCACCTGAATGAGGCCCTCCGCCTCCAGCTGAACTCCCAGAGTATGCAACCTTGCCCCACTACAGGCTGTTACTCCTAGGGGCACTTGTTTTCTACAATTATTTATGCATCAGATTGAAGAATGTCTGGGGAGGGAACAGCAAGGCCAAATTCTTCATATCACATGCTGGCTCCCTTTGTCTTATTACATAAGTAATTAATGCCAAAATAAAAAATTTACCTGAAATCCTGCTATCCAAAGTTACCATTAGCATTGTGGTGTATACAGTGGATGCTTGAACAACATGAGTTGGAACTGCGTGGGTTCACTTCTTTCTTTATTTTTTTTAAGCTTATTTATTTAAGTAATCTCTACACCCGACGTGGGGCCCGAACTCATGACCTGGAGATCAAGAGCCGCATGCTTTTCTGACTGAGCCAGCCAGGCACCAGTCTACTTATGTGCAGATTTTTTTTTTCAATAAATACAGTACTATAAATTATATTTTCTCTTTCTTAGGATTTTCTTTAGCTTGCTTTATTGTAAGAATATAGTCTATAATACAAAATACGTGTTAATCAACTGTTACCAGTAAGATAGTTAAGTTTTGGGGAGTCAAAAATTAAATATGTGGATTTCCAGACTTTTCTTTATTTCCAACCCTAATTATAGCCACTCTTGACAGGTGGTGCTGGCACCAACAGGTGAGATACGGCTCCTCCTTTCAAAAGATTGTGTTTGCATATGGCATAATTTCCCTCAGGCCCTGCCTGGCCTGGTCCTGAGGGTGGTGCTTCTTGCTGCAGGCTCTGTAAGTGGGGATCCGGATGGCAGGGCAGTCAGGCAGGGGTGTACACGCATGTGTGTATGAGAGAGGGTGCGCACACATGGCAGTGTTTCTGGGCAACGGCAGGCATTCACTGCGGTTTCCTGTTCCTCAGGCCTGGGCGGTGGAGACAGGGAAGTACCAGGAAGGGGTGGATGACCCTGACCCAGCTAAATGGAAGGCGCAGCTCCGCTGTGCTCTCAACAAGAGCAGGGAATTCAACCTGATGTATGATGGCACCAAGGAAGTACCCATGAACCCGGTGAAGATCTACCAAGTGTGTGACATCCCGCAGCCTCAGGGATCAATCATTAACCCAGGTGAGGCCCCAGCTGCTGGCGGGACAGGTGGACAGTAAGCCAGGTTCTGGGCTGGACTTTTAAAGAGATAGTTGACTTGAATATCGCTTACAAAGTTTAGTTATAAAGCAAGAAAGCCTTTCCCTAGGAAGGACCCAGAGAACAAAAGATCTAAAGTCAGCAAAATCTTCTTGTTCATTTAGGGGAACAGTTACTGGCGTGACTGCTTGAAGCATGAGAAAGCACAGGGAGTATAGAGTCCTACTGTAGGTAGAGCTTCCCTTGAGACTCAATGCTGAGAGGAGAGGTCAGGTAGTTTTGAAGATGGAGGAATTAAAACTTAGGAGGTTTGAGTTCTGAACCTGGCTCTTATCACTTTGCTCCTTGTGGGACATGGAATCAAGTCATTTGACCTTTGAGCCTCAGTTTCTTCAGTGGTAAAATCTGGGCTCTCATCTTTCCTGCCTACTTTAAAGACTATTGTAAGACTCAATTGACATGACATTTAAAAGCTATTAAATTCCCTTTGTAAATGTTGGGTGAGTGATTATTTAATTTGTAGGATACTTTTCCTAAGAGAATACCACCTGATCCTCCTATTTACCCAATGCTCAGCAAGTACCAAGAACCGGAAAATTTAGACTTGTCCTCCAATGGATCTAGTGAGGCCCTGCCCAGAGAGAAGGGTCTGTCCTCACATTAAGCTTACAAAGGGGAAAAGTTGGTGTCCTTGAGTCCTTAAAAGGGATGCTGAGGTGTGGCAAGAGGTTTAAAGTGGGAATTAAGAGATTTCTAGGAAAGGGGATAGGGTCTGCAGCTCCTGGGTAGGGGAGGGGAAGAGAGTTTACATTAGAGCTCAGTAGGAGGAGTTAGAGCCAGAGGTTCATGTACCTTTGGTTCTCACTCTTTTTGGCTAGGGCATTAGGGGTGCACACTGAACCCCAGGAGCCTCTGTACTGGTAGTACCTAGCATATACAGTGGAGCAGCTGCAAAGATGACAGTGCAACCCCAGTGGCTCACTCGAGGGGTCATGTGTCTGTTTCTCGGTTAGGATCCACTGGATCTGCTCCTTGGGATGAGAAGGATAATGATGTAGATGAAGAAGATGAAGAAGATGAGCTTGATCAGTCACAGCACCATGTTCCCATCCAGGACACCTTCCCCTTCCTGAACATCAATGGTGAGTGGGGGTGGTAGGTGGTACAGAAGAATGAAGAGGATGGAATGGGCTTTGACTTAACAGCTACTGGCCCCCCTTAGCCCGCGCTGCACTGGGGGCAGTGACAAGGCCCTGTGGCCAAGCTGCTGGTCTATTAGCAAGTAGGGGTCACAGACAGGGGAACTCTACTGGCCCAGTTATCCCAGTGGGCGGCTACCAGGCATAGAGAACATCTTCTGAATCTTACAGATAATTCTGAGAAATTAAACAAATTCATTCTCAATCCCACATACAAAGCATCAGTTGTTACAAATTTCACTGATTTCCTTGAGGCCAAGTGTAGATATCATTTTGACGAATTATAGGCAAACTCTTCCTCTATTTCCCTTGGTATAAATTTTGTGTCACTTTCTTAGCAGGATCTACTCTGCTAAGGCTAGGTCATGGGAAACTGGTGGTTTCTACAGCTCTTAATACTAGGCTTTGATAGAAGTTATCTGCAAGAGACTTTTTGCTTCTTTTATGGACTTTTTGAATTCAGCTCCTAGGAAAAATGAGCTGAGAGGTTGGAAGATCACTGTGACAGAGCAGGTACTGACTCTTCCAGCGCACATTTGGAGGATGCTCAAACACAAGGTGAAGTGCTCTTCAGCATCTTCACTTGAACTGTCCACTGAAATGCTCCTAGTCTAATGCCATGCATTTAGTTGAGAAGCTCATCACTGTGTTTCTAGTTCCATCACGCTGCTATGGGTCAAATGAGGTCCTTGTGCCACTTAGAAAATTTATCAAGATGATTCCTTTGGGATTTTGGAGTCCCCTACTTTAGGTGATTCCCTTACCTTTGAGAATCAGGAAATGACTCTTATTATCTGTCCACTTCCCTCCTTCACTTAACCTACCATTTATATCTTTACAACCAAGTGATGAGTAAAGAAAAATAACATTGAGCTCTTTCAGGTCAATATTGCCACATGGTACATTCCCACTTAATGATTTGAGTTGGTTATCTGGAAATATGAGATCCTTTCCCAAATCCTTGGCTGACTCATTCTGTTGTTTTCACCCCTTAAAAGGATGCAACCTATTTCCAGGATCCTGATTTCCTATTTCTGTTCATATTTTACTAAAGCAAATGCTGTGTGGCCTTATGTTAGGAGTTGCTTTGGATTCTTTTTGGGAAGATGTGGGACATCTATTTAAAAAGTAGGGGCGCCTGGGTGGCTTAGTCGGTTGGATGTCCGACTCTTGATTTCCACTCAGGTCATGATCTCAAGGTCCTGGGATTGAGCCCCAAATTGGGCTCCCTGCTCAGTGGGGAGTCTACTTGAGGATCCACTCTCTCTCTCTCCCTTTGCCCCTCCCCCATTTGTGCACTTGCTCTTTCTCAAATAAATAAATCTTTAAAAATAAAAAAAAAGTAAAATGGGTACATAGATTTAACCAGACTTTTGCACGAAGGGTCAAAGAAACATTAACTTCTATGATTTCAGAGCTGTTGGGGCAGAGGAAGAAGAATTGTTGAAGAATAGATGCCTAAGAGGTGAGGCTAGGAGGAGAAATCTGTAGACTTTGGAGTGAACCAACTTTGAGAATAGCAAGAAAATAGGATGGGTATTTCATTTTCTTTCTTAAAAGCTTTAATTGTATTCTTTTTAATAAATATTGGTCTTATATGGTTTAAAATTCGTAATGGTACAAAAAGATAATCAACTGAAAGGTTTTCCTTCCTTCCTGTCTCTGAGCCCCTGTTCGGTTTCCCTGGAAGAAACTGATCCTTTCATATTTTTGGGTATCCTTCCAGATGCTTTGTGCATGTGAAAGTATGTTTTTAATGGAATTTGTAAACACTCAAAGCTAATCAGCTAATTCAATTGAGTTCATTTTATAGAAGACAGTCAACTCCTATGTAATTGCTGGGGTGAAAATCTGCAACAGGGAACCTTTCATCCATGCTCATTCTAATTTAACTGCAGAGAAAACTCACATGTCTGGTAATCTTCAGCAAATGCACGTCTTCAGAACTATGAGTTTATGGGAGAACTAATACGATTAGGAAGTAGAAGTAGGGGAACTGTATTTCTTATTGTGTTAATTGTGGGAATCATTGATGGGCTGCCACACTGAGTCATAGTCCAGTGTTTGACTCTTATCTGTTGACCTTGTTAACGTTTTAGAGCCCCAGACCAGGTGATGTACATATGTGGTGCCCCCCTGCCTGCTCACCCACATCTTTCTGTTCTAGGTTCTCCCATGGCACCAGCCAGTGTGGGCAACTGCAGCCCTGAAGCAGTGTGGCCCAAAACTGAACCTCTGGAAATAGATGTACCCCAGGCACCTATACAGCCCTTCTATAGCTCTCCAGAGCTGTGGATCAGCTCTCTCCCAAGTAAGTGAGACTTGATCTTTCTAGCTGGGTCTTCAGCTCCTATTATAGTCCCTTCCCCGCCCTACCTTCTGCCTCCATTTCTTTGCCATGTAGGCAGCCTCTGTGTCTGGTTCCTGGCTGGCCAATGAGTCATCAGGGAAGAAGTAAAGAAACATTAGTTCATATTTATCTGCCCATGGGGATGCTCTGATCAGTTGCAGCTCGAGGTTACACACCTCTTATGTGGGTGAAAAGCCTGGTTTAATCACTTTGGTTAGGGGATCTGGGCATAAGGCCAGTTGAGGGATAGGAAGATTAATGACCATGGATTTGATCAAGAAGGTTCTTGGATTTTGAGGGGCTTTTGGAAGGGAGAAAATCTTTCTGAATTGAACACAAATTGATCTCAATGAAGAATCAATGTCACTGCCCCACCTCCCTTTCACACTACACATGGTGGTAGTGTGGCTGGGGTGGGGGGTGGGGACGTGAGGGCTAGTATTTTGTCCAAGAGGCTAATAGCTTTGATAAGACCTATAGGGTTAATTGAGGCCTGATGAGTGAAAATTTACTCTGCCATGAACTGTGTCCTTTTATGGTAAATTATTAGAACAGATCCACAGAGTGTGCTCATGTGTGTCATATTTCAGAAAGACAAGATGGCTTGGTATTTTTTTCTTATTCTGGTTTCTTTAAAAATGAGCCAAAAATGAGACAGAAACCAGATACCTTAGTCTTTAGCTTCTTCCAATGCCTACTACTGTGAATACTCAGTCAGTATATCTTTATTTTTTTTTTAATGATTTTATTTATTTGACAGAGACAGAGATAGAGAGAGCAGGAACACAAGCAGGAGGAGTGGGAGAGGGAGAGCAGGCTTCCCGCTGAGCAGGAAGCCCAATGCAGGGCTTGATCCCAGGACCCTGGGACCATGACCTGAGCCGAAGACAGACGCTTAACGACTGAGCCACCCAGGCACCCAGAAGACTCAGTCAGTATAAATGAGGAGACTTGACCCAGAAGTTTGCTTGGAGAAATTCTAGCCCTTAGGGTGTAATGATTAAACAGAGATAGCATACATGGACCTTGAACTGTCTGCTTTTAAGGCAGCCTTTTGAGTGAATATTCCAGGGATAGGATGATGTCTTCCTTTGTTGCAGGAAGGATAACTGTGGTAGTGACCTTCCTGAATGCTGGTTGAAAGGTGGCTTGATCTCGATGGACTTGCATGAGTCTCAGGGATAGACAGGCAGAGTATTAGAGCAGGACTCTCACTGTCCTCTCTCACCTTGCAGTGACTGACCTGGACATCAAGTTTCAGTACCGTGGGAAGGAATATGGGCAGACCATGACCGTGAGCAACCCCCAGGGCTGCCGGCTCTTCTATGGGGACCTGGGTCCCATGCCTGACCAAGAGGAGCTCTTTGGTCCTGTCAGCCTGGAACAAGTCAAGTTCCCAGGTCCAGAGCATATCACCAATGAGAAGCAGAAGCTGTTCACCAGTAAGCTGCTAGACGTCATGGACAGAGGACTGATCCTGGAGGTCAGCGGTCATGCCATTTATGCCATCAGGCTGTGCCAGTGCAAGGTGTACTGGTCTGGGCCATGTGCTCCATCACTTGTTGCCCCCAACCTGATTGAGAGACAAAAGAAGGTCAAACTATTTTGCCTGGAAACGTTCCTTAGTGGTAAGTCTTTTTTCAGAAGGTTGGTGGTTGGGAACTTCCCGGAAGTAGGTTTACCACCTTCCCTACCCCCTCTCCTGGCTCTGCAAAGATCTTAACAAAAAACTCCTGGAGGAAGTGAAGGTAGAAGAGAACCTTAGTTTTTTTTTTTTTTTTTAAGATTTTATTTATTTATTTGACAGAGAGAAAGACAGCGAGAGAGGGAACACAAACAGGAGGAGTGGGAGAGGGAGAAGCAGGCTTCCTGCCGAGCAGGGAGCCTGATGCAGGGCTCGATCCCAGGACCCTGGGACCATGACCTGAGCAGAAGGCAGACGCTTAACGATTGAGCCACCCAGGCGCCCCAAGGACCATAGGTCTGAGAAATGAAAGTGGCCTGGGCAACAAAGAAGGGCATTCCACTCCAAAGCTATGTACTTGGAAGCTATTTTTAGGTTGGCTGTGGCTCCTTTAGTGGCAAAGAGAGAGACAGCCTTGTCATTACCGCCAAATGCCACCTTAACTTTGGAAGTTGACTTTATCATAATTAGCAAAACATACTCTTCTCATTTGGGAAATATCTGAATGGCAAATTCAAGGAGACAAATTTAGGGAGAACGCTGAAATGTGGATTTTATAGTATAATTTGAACCCCAGGTCCAGTTTAGTGATGTCCAATAGAACCCTCTGAAATGGTAAAAGTGTTCTATATTTGTGTTGTCCACAATAGCCCACATGGGACAGTTGAGCACATAAATGTGACTCATATGACTAAGGAACTAATTAATTTTAATTAATTTAAATGTGATAGCCACATGTGGCTAGTGACCACCATATTGGACAGCACAGAAGATGGTATTTACTCAGTGGATATGGAATGGCCCAGTACACCAAACTTGCTCTTCCACCTTCTACAGATCTCATTGCCCACCAGAAAGGACAGATAGAGAAGCAGCCACCATTTGAGATCTACTTATGCTTTGGGGAAGAATGGCCAGATGGGAAACCCCTGGAAAGAAAACTCATCTTGGTTCAGGTGAGGATATAAGGATGTGTCAACAACTCTTTGCCTTTTCACCAGTGCTTTAGCCCCTAGGACTAGGGTTATGCTGAGCAAAGATCCATCAGCCTATGTGCATTTTATTCCCATCAGATAGAATAGCAGACTCAAGCTTTGTTTATTGTAAGAACCAAGTAGGTCCTATCAAAATAGGACCAAGCTGGAGCACACAGGGTCCTCGAAGTGGATGACTGGTTTAGTGAAGACCTTACCTTGCATTCTCTTACTGACATTAGAGTCTTGCTGAAACCTAACAGTATATGGTCCTTTCCAGCTCTTTTAGAAAAACCTTTTGAGTTACTTTTAAGAATGTAACCTTATTCTAGTAAGTGGCAGCAAGACCACTTGGGTTTGGTCCCTGGATTTGTAAAAAAGATAGTCAACAGATGAAATGTGGGTAAAAGTCTTACTAAATAAGCAGCTGTTTATTTAGACATGTGATGTGATGAGACATATAGGTTCTTCACCTTCATTTGAACCAAGTTCTAGAGTGAACCTTAGCAGGATGGTCCAGAGAGAAGAAGGCATATACCCTGTACCTAGACATAAGGGTTGGGGGCTTCCCCAGGGCCTCACTGGTCCCTTCTATCATCTTGAGTCCCTCCTGCTATTTAAAAATACCTTCTCTTCAGTGGATACCTGTGTACTCTGTGTCCTAAACAGGTCATTCCAGTGGTAGCTCGGATGATCTACGAGATGTTTTCTGGTGATTTTACGCGGTCCTTTGACAGTGGCAGTGTCCGCCTGCAAATCTCAACTCCAGACATCAAAGATAACATCGTTGCTCAACTGAAGCAGCTGTACCGCATCCTCCAAACCCAGGAAAGCTGGCAGCCCATGCAGCCCACCCCCAGCATGCAACTACCCCCTGCCCTGCCAGCCCAGTAATCATGAATGCCATCTTTTTTTACAAATTGTACATATTGGTATTTTTTATTACTCAGATTTAACCAGCTTTTAAACAACTTCTTTCTGTTAGTGGCCTCCAATTCTCCACATATGCCTGGCTTTTAAAGTTGATTTAATTTATGGAAAAATCACCCTTCTTATTCCAATACCCTTTCTTTTTTAAACCTCGCAATGTTAGTATAATGTAGTAGAGGGAGATTTGGCCTGGGACTTTGGACAGCAGCGTTCTAGCTGCAGCTTTGCTTCAGTGGTGTGACCTTGAACCACCAAGTCATTTAATCTCTAGGCTTCAGATTCATTAATGTAAAATGAAGGGGTTGGAATAATGCCTGAAATAATGCCAGTTAAAACTCTGACCTGATGACTTCATTCTACTTGTACAAGGCAGAACTGCCTGGAACAGAACCCTTCTGCATTGTTCTTGCACCACATTTTTTTCTTGCTTTCATTAAAGTTCCCTCAAGCACTGATTTGTCCAAGATTGATCTCCGTTTGACCTGTTCTGCTAGTATAGTAAGCTGGCTCCCTAACGGGGTAAGTGAGAGGGAGGGGAGCTGGCTGGTTGCTTAGGAACCAAGCTTGATATCTAAATAGAAATAGGTGCCAAAGTCTGAAAGTCACCTGGTCTGTGGAGTAAAAGCTCATAAACTGAGCTCCTCAAGGGAATCTGTCAACAGAAGGCCTAGGGATTCTGCACAGTTGGTTGTCAGGTGTTTACCTTGCCACCACTCAAATAACACTGTATGTGTGGTAGATGAGAATATGACTCAGGGGTACCTTTCAGAGAGGATAGAGCTCTTTTTCTAATTCTTTGAGGAAGAGCTGAGCATCTAGGACAAACTCCTGACTAAAAAAGCAACAGTTCCTTCTTGTTTGGAAACTTTTACAGTCTTACTATCATTTGGATTTTTTGCATTTGAAAAAATGGGGGTGTTCAGGGTGAAGGAGGACGGGGCAGTGCTCTTCTGTAAAAGGCTCATCTGGCCCAAACCTGCTTGTCTCCCTTCTTGTGGAGGTAGCTGGGTGTGGACTACTCAGGTGAAGAGTGGTGTAGAACATTGTAGCTATGGCTTCCACAAACTGGTCTTATCTATTAACTTTTGCTGATCTTTTTGCCCTACCCCCAACCTTAAAAAAAAAGAAGTATAATTTAAACTCCAAGACCTAAATGGAAAGCAAGATGTTAATCTCTGATTGCAGGCCCCTAATGCTCTTGAATACTGATGCCTCTCTGTGCCAGGCTGTCATAAGAAAACTCATGTCTAGTGTGCTACCCTTACACTAGGCCATCCCCTACTTGCTACTGAAGTTGAGCTAGCCAAAAAGTCAGGTAGCTTCAAAAGCTATAAGCTCAGTTCAGTTACAGGTGGCAGTGGGACTTACTTAGAATGCTGAAGCTGTGGTTTTAGGGTCTCTAAGGGACGTAAACTAAAGTATGACCAAGAGAAATCTGAGTAAATGTCAGGTGTAGCTGTGAGCAGAAGTTGGGCTTCTAGAGACCAGGAAACATGCAAAGTATAGAAACTTTATATTTTTTGGTCATTTTGTTGAGTGGGTAATGTGAAGGATTTGGTTTTGGTGTCTGGCTAACTCTGTAACTGCACAGCTCAAAGTTAAAAAGAACCCACTGTAGGTAAATTGGGGGGACAACTGCTAGATCTGGGTAGTCCTTTTCCCTTATGCTGTGTGAGGCTAATAGCCAGGCTCTCCATCTGGACAGGGACCCAGATAATATGAGCTGGCAAAAGGTGATGAAGATTGTTCTGAAGGGCCGAGAAGGATCAAACTTGTTGTATGTGACTGTAATGAAAAGTTTACAAAGATGCCAGAGGAGTGGATGAGTGGTTTTATGTAGTCTTAACCAGAGAGCCCAGTTTCTTCCATGTTTTTTTATTGTTTTCAGAATCCTGGGAGAAGAGCGCCTGGGTGGTTCAGTTGGTTAAGTGTTGGACTCTTGATTTCAGCTCAGGTCATGACCTCAGGGTCATGACACTGAGCCCCACATTGGGCTCCACGCTCAGTGGGGAGTCTGCTTGAGATTCTCTTTTTCCTTCTTCCTCTGCCCACTCCCCACCTGACCTCCCCCACTCACTCGCTGGCTCTCTCTTTCAAATAGTAATACATCTTTAAAAAAAAAAAAGAAAGCTGGGTGAATGCATGCAGGGCTGTTCACTGATCTCCCTCAGTGTTCCTTCTCTGGTCCTGATGGATAGATACCAGGTGCCCTTTCTTTCTTGGAGACTGTTACTTCCTTTGGTGGCTACACCACACACTCTCTTGGTGGGGTCTACTTTCTTGCCTCCACCTTGTTTAAGAGAGGAAGGGGAATTAGATGGTGTCACTAGCTCTTCTTTTTGTTCTCTGTCCACCCCGCCAAACTGGATTAGCTCAAAGTTAAACAAAACAAAACACTATAGGTAAATTGGGAGGGCAAGTGTTGGGTCTGGGCTTATTCCTTCCCCATATAATTAGGTCTCTGGTTACATGTATATGTTCCCCTATCAACCTATACTTCTTTCTTCAAAATAATCAATTCCCTGTAATTGCTCAGCATCTGTGTGATTGCTCAGTCCTATGTGACTACAAACTCTCTGAAGGTAGGGACTGTTTGTCTTGGACTCCATTGCCAGTGTCTGGTACATACTATGTTCTCAAATAGAACTGATCCTTGAACAACACAGGTTTGAACTGCACAGGCCCACTTGTACTCAGATTTTTTGATAAGTATAGTACAGTATGATAAATGTATTTTCTTATGATTTTTTTTAGCATTTTTTCCTCTAGATTACTTTATTGTAAGAATACAGTATATAATGTTGCTGTAAACAAAAATACGTGTTGACTGTTTATATTATTGGAAAGGCTTCTGGCCAATAGAAGGCTATTAGTAAAGTTTTGGGGGACTTAAAAGTTATATTCGGGGTTTCTACTGTGTGGGTCACCTCCTACCACCTGCGTTGTTCAAGGGTCAACTGTATTTGTTGTTAGAATAAATGAATGAACTAAATAAGTCTTTCATTTTACAGATTTATTGCTAACGACCATGGGAAAATAAAATAAATACGGGGAAGGAAAATATCCTAAAATTAGTTTCTCGTCTCTGCTTCCGACTCCCTCTGAGCTAAGAGCCAGTGTTAGCCTGGGAGCTCCCACAAACTGATCCTCCTTCCAGGCTGGCCCCATCTTTACTCCATACTTGTCTTTTTCACCTTCTGAAGATACCACCAAGGTAGAGCCAGGAGTGAAACCTCCAGTATAGGAGCCCACAGTTCCCTTTGCCTCTGTCCTGCCCACGTAGCAATACATTTGGGCCATTTCCTCAGATGAGCTTTCTCAAAAAATTACCCTATAGCTGGCAGTTTAGAGGTGTTAACCCTTAAGTGAAATAACACTTTCTTCTTACTGGCCTGACTGAAAAGCTTCTGCCTCTCTGCTCATTTCTCATGTGAAGTCAGAAAACTGAATTCCTCGAACTTGAGCACCATGAAACTGGGGTTTTTGTCAATTTTGTACGTTGTAATACCGCCGGCGCCTAGAAATATGCCTGGCACACATTTATTCCGAGTGAATAATGCTCATGCCCTTCACACCCTACTTAGAGATGACAAATCTTGGACAGGACAGCATTTGTGCTCCCACCTCTAGGAATTCACCCTCTCAAACTTAGGATTTAGGCAGGTCAAAGTAAATAGACAACTAACTTTGTAAGGCCACTCACAGGTGAGGACACTCTGCAAAACATGTCACTTGCCTCGAGATAAGCTTCGTTTGGAGAAGAAATCGCATTTTCCCAGACAAAGCAAAGGGTGTTTTTGCGCTGTGAGCCCTTCTCCTGCTTCCCCGACTTAGTAACACGACGGGAAGCCACGTGAGGGTAGCCGCAGCCTATTACTTTCCCAGATCCCGGCTTCCGTCTAGCCTGAAGGGGCGGGGCCGCAGGCCCCCACACTTCCGGCACAGCCTGGCGGGAGGTCCTAACGCGAGGCGCGCGAGCGGACTGGATGACGTCACGGAAAGCGGCGGGAGGGCTGGTGTTGGACATGCGCAGTAGGCCGGCTTCGCCCACCTGGATCGCGGCGCGTTGCAAGGGATTTCCAGTGTTGCGGCGGAGCGTACGGGCTTCGGCGTTTTTTCGGCAACCCACAGGAAGCGGGAAGACGCTTCTGAGCCCGCGAACCTACGGCGGAAGTGGAAGCGGAAAGTATGTGTGAGAGAGAGACCTCTGACTGATTGAAAAAATCACTATAATATGCTCAGCACTGGGTGTGGGGATTGGAATGAGCCCATCTTCCGAAGGTCCGTAGATGTCGGCCAGAAGGGGAAGGCGGGGCCGGAAAAGTAAAATACAGCCCTCCTGCAGTTTTACAGATTTTATTAATTACTTTTACGTCCCAGGGTGCAGTGGTTCTAAGTCCATATTCTAGTATATATTAATCAGATCTCTATTCTTACAGCTATTGGCGGGAAGATAAGGGAAAGTTGGCATTGGAAAGAGGGTGTTTGGAACCTAGAATTCTGCCTCAGAAGGGCAGTTTTAGGTAAAATGCCCATAATTTTGCCAAAGACAGCCCTGCCACTACTCTTCCCCAGAAAGTAGTTTACAACAGGTAAAATTTAGAAGAAATCAGAGAGAATGTAAACCTAGCCATAAGTCCTGAAAGACACATGAATTTGGGACTAATGGAGACTAAGTCAACCATAGAAATCAGGCAGCGTTGTCAATCCCATCTCTGTCTGATATGGGTTAGCATTTCAAAGCAGAGGGAGGGACAAAAAGATCTTTGGAAGATGTTGTAAAACTTAGGGGAAGGCTGTTGGCAGGTTTCCTGCTATGTCACTGACTGGTGTTAATAATCCCCTGCTACTGCTTTGTTTTTAGGCCCTTCCTCAAGTGTCTGGAGCTCAGAGATGCGGCCCAGGGGAGGGAACTGTAGCTAGGTCAGGAGGCCATGCTTGCTGTTGCTTCCAGATCCCATGTCAGCACCGAGTCCTCAGATGTTGGTGGCAGCGGCTCAGCAGACCCTGGGCATGGGAAAGAGACGGTGCCCACCCCGAGCCGTCTGCCTTCACCTTGCTGGAGAGGTGCTGGCTGTGGCCCGGGGACTGAAGCCAGCTCTGCTCTATGATTGCAGTTGTGCAGGGGCATCAGAGCTCCAGAGCTATCTGGAGGAACTGCAGAGCATGGGCTTCCTGACCCAGGGACTTCACATCCTTGAGATTGGAGAAAACAGCTTGATTGTCAGTCCTGAACACGTATGTCCGCACTTGGAGCAGGTGCTGCTTGGTACCATAGCCTTTGTGGATGTTTCTGGCTCCCAACCTCACCCTTCTATTTGCTCCCTGGACGAGCTTCAGGATTTGAAGGCCCTAGTGGCTGAGATCATCACGCATTTGCAAGGGCTGCAGAGGGACCTATCCCTGGCAGTCTCCTGCAGCAGACTTCGTTCCTCAGACTGGAATCTCTGTACTGTGTTTGGGATCCTCCTGGGCTATCCTGTTCCGTATACCTTTCATCTGAACCAGGGACTTGACAACTGCTTAGCCCTGACCCCACTCCGGGTGTTCACTGCCCGGATCTCATGGCTGTGTGGTCATCCCCCAGTCTTACTCTATTCCTTTAGTGTGCCAGAGAGCTTGTTCCCAGCCCTGAGGGAGATTCTAAGTACTTGGGAGAAGGACCTTAGAACTCGATGTAGGACTCAGAATGACTTTGCTGACCTGAGCATCTCCTCTCAGATAGTTACGCTGCCAGCAGTGGCTCTCTGACTTTCACTCTTCTCTCATGTAGAAGGTACTCAGTAAATGATCAGCTATAGCTCAGCGATGGCATCACAAGTACCAATTCAGAGCATCTTGAGAACACTAGGGAAAAATGCTGTTATCAGTTGTCTGCATCGCAGCGGGCATGGGAATAGTGGTGGTGGCATTGGTCGTACGTATTTGCCATTTCTATGCTAGGGAGTCCTCTTTGCTGAGATATCTGTTGATTTTTCACTGGAGAGGAGGTAGAAGAAAAGAGATTGTGGAGAAGGGTGGTGGAGGACAAGTATATACTCTTGTGTGGTAGCTGTAAATATACCTGCCCTCGTGGGTAGTGTCTGCCAGAAAGTAGAGGACTAGGTAGGTTTTACCGCATGTTTGTATACCACCAACTGAATTGGACTAGGGAGAGGAGACCAGGATGCCCAAATGTCTTATGTTTGTGATGTGACATGTCATTCAGGGGTACACTAAGAGTTCTGAGGAACAGAGACTGTTAGGTGAAGTTTGTTTATTTTACAGTAGGTTAAAAAAATAGAAATCTCAGGTGGGAAAACCCACACTTCAAAGTATGTCAACTTGCTGAGTTTTTTATTGAGTTTCTTGCTTCAGATTTTCACCCAAGCAGCTGTCACAAGTGATTCAGATCATCAGGCTGTCCTTGTTGGCCAGGAACACTGCCAGTGCTATAGCAATCACTACCATCAGCATCGAGAGCCATCGGCCACATTGCCTCTGTGATGAGGGGGTGGGGGAGAGAAAGAGGCCATGGGTTGTTTGGAGAAGGTACAGGGAAAAATTACCTTCCTTCTTCCCATCCTAGCCCAGTGGGAAACCTTGGGTCAGTAAAGGAGAAAAAGCTTTTTATATCACTGTGTCACTTGGTCACTTCCTTTGGGATAAAACCACTTTACTGCTGGTCACTGGCCCCTAAGCCAGGATTACTGGCTTAGGCAACCATACCCAGCAAGGGCCAAATACTTAAGTACTGATAAGAATAATCAAGGATGAAAAATAACTCAGCAAAATTATATAATTCTCTATTCGTATTCCTTAGTACTTTTGCTCTCCTCACTCTTGCCACTAGCTCATAATAGGCTAAAAGAACACCACTTCATACTTTAGCTAATAGTAATTCTTTCCCTTTAGGCTCTAGAGTTCCATGAAAATTAGGCTTGGATGCATAAGCCAGTGTTTGCTGACACTTGCTATACCGTCAAGTATATAAACCAAGTTGAATGGAACAGGCTGGCCAGATGTTGGCACAGGCTGATAAACTTTATCTGCAAGATTTGGCCAAAGGAGGAACCGTCCCACCATCATCCAGGGCGATACGGGAGAATTGACCCTCTTACTCTGGGAGGCGGCTGTTGGCTCTGGTTCAGCTCTTCTCGACAGTGCTGCAGCTTACGCAGGCAAGACAGATACTCGTCACTGAGGTTGTCTAACTCCGAATGCAGTTCTCTGCACTGGGGGGAGAATACCACCAACGTCATCACTACCAGTTCCTTCTGGGACAGAGCGCAGGTCAGGGCGAGGGCCCTGTGTGAGTTACCCCTTCATTCGTTTGGAATTTTTACCACCATACTCCCTTCCCAGCCTTTCTCAGGGGTTTCAGTTTGCCTTTTGACTGTCTTACCTAGTTTGTCTGGAATGTGTTCATTTAAATGATTGATTATAATGCATATTATAATATTAACATATTATACATGTCAGTGCTCTCACGTGATTGTGAATGTGCAAGAGCTTTGTAAATGGGGGCACCAAAAAATGAAGTTCTTCTAGCACAAAAGACCTAGGGGTGATCTTAATACAAGCATCTTCACCAGGATATAGTTGAGTTGCATGTGAATACTGGGGATATGTATGTTTCCGAGTCTGTAGATGGAAAGAGTTTTGTTATTTAAAAGACACTATATATATAAAGTTTTAAGATAACTCTAGGACAAAGTTTGAGGGGTTAATATGTTTATTAAATGTGTTTGAGTTTAGGTTGACTTTACAAAAGGTAACTATTTGATAAAACCTTGGTATAAATGAAGAAGGGAAAAGATTGACAAATTATCCCACAAGCAAAGACATTTATAAAGGCAGATGAATACCTGCCGGGATCCAGTCACGATTTAAACTTTGAAATCTTTGCTCTCTGGCTGCCTCCCAGCAGTTTTCCCTACCATTGTGGGATGATCCCCTCACTATCTTTTTTTTTTTTTTTTTAAAGATTTTATTTATTTGACAGAGACATAGCAAAAGAGGGAACACAAGCAGGGGGAGTGGGAGAGGGAGAAGCAGGCTCCCCGCTGAGCAGGAAGCCCGATCCGGGACTCGAATCATGACCTGAGCCGAAGGCAGAGGCTCAATGACTGAGCCACCCAGGCGCCCCAATCCCCTCACTATCTTGAGGGTCACCGTCTCACCTCCTTTTCCTTGGCCTGGAGCTGCAAAGTCTTCTTTTGCAGCTGGTCTCTGAAATCCCATTCTTTCTCCTTCCCTGTACCCTCAGGTTCCACTTCATTATGGGAGGGCTTTGGACTCCACACAGGCAAAGCCTGATCTAAAAAAGCAGCCAGATTCTCAGTGATGGTGAGGTCCATACCTCTGAGGGAGGGCCCTATCACTGAGAGAACCCTGGAGTGAGGGGAAGGGAGGAGAGGGAGCAAGGGGGGACCTGTCCCTGACGAGACTGCATTGAGTAGAATTCTCTCACTTCCTCCCATTGGGACCCTGCTCAGTCTTGACACAGAGCTGGAAATCGAGCCCCTTGCAGGCAAGGTTGGCATCTTACTTTTCTTCGTATCCCTAGTCCTGTTTAATGGCATATATTTCTAGAGAATACTTACTAATTCATTTTTTTTTTTTTGTGGTATTTCTAGTAGGTTTGCTGGTTGCTTCAATATAACTAACCCTTTCTCCCTTCTGGCCTCATTTCAGTCTTGAGAATGGCCCTCCTATCCTAGAATTCATCTTCCTGTGGTTAAAGATGGCTTCTGAGCCACGTGGCAGTCTTAGTCTTGGTGAAGAGAGCACTGAACTAGGAGTCAGAAACTCTGGATTGTTGTCTTAGCTGTATCCTTAATTCTTATGACCGTAGACTTTCATTTTCTTGCCCATTCAATGTGGGTATCATAATTCCTGCCTTATCTTTTACATAGTGATTGTGATGAGAAAACAAAAGACCACATGGAGTGCATAAGTGAGGAACTTCCCCCTCTAACCCCCATACATGATGAATTTTTCTCAGGGAGCTAAGGCAGCAGACTCTTGAGGGCTAAGAGTGAGGTGACTGTTGCATGCAACATGGTGTGGACTTCGGGAGTTGGATGTGACTTGGAAAGTCAAATGTAAAAATTGACATTAAATCCTGAGTTCAAAATCAATTTATTGAAATGTTCAACACAGACATTGGTTTTCAGAGAGAGTAGAAATTCTTTTCACAGTTTATATACCTCTCAGGATAGGAGGCTAACTGGTTAAAGTTTCTCAAAGCCAATGATCAGTCCTTAAAAAGCTCCCCTGGATCCCTTCCTTAACAGACTCCTAGAACTGCCTGGGACTCCAGGAGGTCATATAGTCCATCCCCTGCTTCTAGGCAGGCAAGGAAAGACCACTAGCTTAGAATTTGTGTTGGTAAATTTGCTGACCTTCCTTTGTTAAGAGTTTCTCCTGTTCTTGAAGCTGTAAGGATTGATTCTGGAGCAGACCTGTGGGAAAACACAAGGAACTTGTCTTTACTAGTGTATCTACTGCAAACAGTGTCTTTTCAGAACTTTGCTTCAAACCTTAATTATTTAAGATGTTCCCATCTGTTATTGGTTGAATTGTGTCCCTCCCCCCCAAACTCATAGGAAGTCCTAACCCCTAGTACCTCAGAATGTGACCTTATTTGAAGATAGGTTCTTTACAGAGGTAATCAAGTATTTTAGAACATTAGAGTGGGCCCTAATCTCATACGACTGGTGTCCTTATAAGAAGGGGAAATTTCAACACAGAACTAAATAGAAGACATCTGAAGAAACATAGGGAGAAGAAAGCTATCTACAAGCCAAGGAAAGTGGCCTGGAACACATCCTGTCTTCAGAACCCTCAGAAGGAATCAGCCCTGCCCACACCTTGACCTTGGACTTGTATCCTCCAGAACAAAATAAATTTCTGTTTTTTAAGTCACCCAGTATGTGGTATTTTGTTAATGACTACATGGTCCTTGTATCTCTTCCTACCGTGTCTTTACCTTTAAGTCTCTGCTTAACCGTTACCTTAGAAGAAAGACTTCCCCAGATGACCCTGTATGAAATAGCAACTGTTTTCCCTTTAACCTGCTTTATTTTTCTCCATGGCAGTTATTACTATCTGACACATACTTAATTGTTCATAGAAGCTCCATACTTTATTGTAGAGCTAACTTAGAATGTAAGCTTCATTAGGGAAGGAGCTGTGTCAGTTCTGTTCAGCACTGTATCCTCAGTGTGTATATCTAAAGTGCCTGGCACTTGGTATGGGAATAAATAAAAGCACCATTTTTGAAGTGACTCCTTGCCCATTCAGCTCCTGCCCTATAGGTGCTCATAGTCTGCTGGTGGCTGCCTTACTCTTAATATTCATTGCACGAAACTTCTCTTGTTGAGGTGTCAGAGTTTAAGGTGGTGGGCACCCAGCAGAGCTATTAATCAAATCAGGTTCTCCTAGTAGGCAATTGCCTACTTTTTAATGAAAAGTCCCTTTTTCCTCTTTGGCCTCAACAGGTAGTTTTGAAGTGGACTGAGGCATATGTAGTGTGAGCTGATTTTCTGAACCATTCCTAAAGACAGAAGTCTATAGGACATATGTATGTAATGAATGTCAATATATAAAATAACTGCCTTAGGAAACCCAATGTTTTTTTAAAATCTGAAAACCTGGGGGAAATGGCAGTTCTGGGGGAAATTTGGGTGGTTGTCATTGGCATGGAAGGAGAGAAGTAGAAAAAAAAAAAGGCTAATATTAACTTGTGAAGAGCTGTGTAAATGACCTCACTTTCCAAGAAGGTCTGAAAACATGCAG